GATTGTGTCATTCTTTCTCATTTTATCTATTCTGGTTTGTAGGTGGTGGTATTTCATCTTTATATATTTTGATCATTTAATTATTAGAAGACCTGAGCCTATTTTTTTTATATTTCTTAAAAATTTATATATACTGTTTTTAAGGGTCTATGCAAATTTTCTGCACTTTTTTTCCTACTGTGATGTTAATCTTTCTAAATGATTTTGAAGAATTTAAAAAATAACTTTTTTTTTTTCTGGTTAAATGTGAAAGAATCTTTTCCATTCAAAAACTTATTAACGGGTAGGGTAATCTTTGGATACTTAAAGTAAGAGAGAAAAAAGTCTTTTGGGGGTGCCTGGGTGGCTCACTAGGTTAAAGTCTGTGCCTTTGGCTCAGGTCATGATCTCAGAGTCCTGGGATTGAGCCCCACATCGGACTCTCAGAGAGCCTGCTTCCTCCTCTCTCTCTGCCTGCCTCTCTGCCTGCTTCTGATCTCTGTCAAATAAATAAATAAAATCTTAAAAAAAAGTCTTTTAACATAGTTGCATTGTCTGTACTTTTCCCTTTTGTTTATATATGTTATAGCGTGGGTCTGATTTGGGGTCCTGTTAATGTATCGTTCTACTTAAAAAAGTTTTTTTAAGATTTTATTTATTTACTCATGAGACAGAGAGAGGGGCAGAGAGGGAGAAGCAGGCTCCCTAAGGAGCAGGGAGCCCAATGTGGAACTTGATCCCAGGAACCCAGGATCATGACCTGAGCCAAAGGCAGATGCTCAACCTTCTGAGCCACCCTGATGCCCTAAAATATTTTTACTTGGAAATAATCTGAAACTTACAGAAGTTGTATTAGCAAAGGATATCTATGTTCCCTTTAGTCAGATTCACTTATTAACATTTTTATCCTATTTATTTTATCATTTACTCTATGTATACATACTTTTTCTGCATTGAGAGCATGTGCATTGTTTTCATCCCTGTATGTACTTCAGTGTGATTTCCCAATAATGATATTATTTTAGATAACCATGATAGTTATCTGCTTCAATAAATTTAATGAATGAAATAGTTTTATCCACTCTACTTCTTGTATGCCAGTTTGAAAAACTGAATCAATAATGTTCAGTGATCAATCAGCATGATCTCAAGCAAAGCTCAGAAATAGCCTTGGGGATTTTGCTGGAGATATATTTTTTTAAAGATTTTATTTATTTATTTGAGAGAGAGAGAGAGAGAGCATGAGAGGAGAGAGGTCAGCAGAAGAAGCAGACTCCCCGCCGAGCAGGGAGCCCGATGCGGGACTCGATGTGGGACTTGATGTGGGTCTCGATCCCAGGACTCCAGGATTATGACCTGAGCGGAAGACAGCCGCCCAACCAACTGAGCCACCCAGGCGCCCCTTGCTGGAGATATTTAGAAAGAAGTATTCCCCTTGGGGTTGTAAATGCTTAGAGCCATACTAATTTGGAATTGTCAGGAGATTTATTTGTTATCACCGGGAGACTGATGAAAATATAGCCCATACAGAAAAAACAGTGCAGATGGTGGTAAACAGTCGCTGATCAATGAATGTCTGAGTCTCTAGTTTCACTCCTGATTCCTCAGACATTCGAACTTTTCTGACACCACAGTCATTTTTTTTTTAAAGATTTTATTTATTTATTTGACAGAGATCACAAGTAGGCAGGCATAGAGTGAGGGAGAAGCAGACTACCCACTGAGCGGGGAGCCCGACATGGGGCTGGATCCCAGGACCATGAGATCATGACGTGGCCGAAGGCAGAGGCTTAACCCACTGAGCCACCCAGGCGCCCCACCACAGTCATGTTTATGGGTGAACTGGGGGGGAAGGGGAAGGAGAGTGAAGTAAGCACATTTTATGTATAGTCAACTCAATCTAAGGGCAGATTATCTGGTTTATGGACCAACAGAAGTTAAAAAATACGAGGTTACACTGTAAAAAATTTGAAGAACAATTCAATGAAAACATCTGATTTTTTGAGCACATCAACTGGAACTACAGGTAATCCATAGATGCCATGTTCTGTGTATTGCCTCTCGGCAATACAACCTACAGTGAGGGATAGCTCATGTGGTTCTGGATCCAGGACTGCCCCATTGGGACCTAAAAAGAGTTAGGTAAGGAAAGGGAGAAAGCAGGGATGAAGAGCTTCCAACTTGAGTCCTGTTGTGATATTAAAAAGTGAAAACTCATCTAGGAAAACAAAGTTATTAGAAACTTTTAATAGACAATTGAACCTAGCCAATTGCTAATTTAAATACTGTTCGGTGTTCTTTTTTTTTTTTTTTTAAAGTTTGGTGGTTCTTTTTTTTCTTTAAAGATTTTATTTATTTATTTGTCAGAGAGGGAGAGCGAGCGAGCGCACAAGCAGGCAGAGCCGGCAGGCAGATGCAGAGAAGCAGGCTCCTTGCTCAGCAGGGAGCCAGATAAGGGACTTGATCCCACGACCTGAGCTCATGACCTGAGCTCAAGGCAGGGGCTTAACCAACTGAGCCACCCAGGTGTCCCCTGTTCAGTCTTCTTATACAGTACTATTGTTTTAATTCTTTGGGTGATATAACATCGTCCTCCCAAAAGCCAGATGTAATTTAAAATTTACACTAGGGGCACCTGGGTGGCTCAGTCAGTTGCGTCTGCCTTTGGCTCAGGTCATGATCCCAGGGTCCTGGGATCAAGTGCTATGTTGGGCTCCTGGTCAGCGAGGAACCCACTTCTTGCTCTCCCTCTGCCTTTCCACTTGTTTGTGCTCTCTCTTTCAAATAAGTAAAATCTTGCAAAAAAATAAATAAATAAATAAATAAATAAATAAATTTACACTAAATCAGTCTACCTGATCTTGTCTAGTTTTAACACTACTTTTTATAGCTACCCCTGATAAATGAGTGGTGTCTTTTCCCCCATTACCCCCTCCTAAATGAGTGGCACCCGCACTTGACCAAAGGACTCAACACCATTTGGTAGAAACAACCTTCCTGTACTCTTTAAGCTTTTTGCAGAGACATGGGCGGTGGAAGGAATTCCCCAACCCATGTCTTCAGAAGTTTTGAAGCCCAGATGAACAAATAGAAATGTGACTGGTTTCCCAAATGCTATGGAGATAGTTTATGGTTGGTCTGTCTTTGCCCCTTAAACTATGCTTAAATTAGGAAACTTTAGAAGCGATTTACAAAAGTTTCTGACAATAAATATATAAACAACATCTTTATTGACAGTGGGCCAATAAGAGCAGTCAAATTTAGTTCATAGGTAACCAAAAACATTTGAAAAGTGGAACACTAAAACTTCCAAGGTTCATGTTGGAGTACAAATACAGTCTAACTGAACGTCAAACATAAACAGAATACTGAAATGTCAAGGGCCAGAGTTCCCAGTAAAACTTAGAGCTAGTCTCTTAACACTCTTTAAACGGCACTTAGATTACAAACTCGAGTCTCTGAAACTATAAGATAGCTTCTGGCTAAGTGGTACTTAGGAGAGAATAAAGCAGATTCCCCAATGTCTCAAGGAGGCTGTGTAGGGAGTAGCACCAGATGGAAAGACGAGCAGAAAGAGAAGCCTCTTCTCTATGCTGTGCTAGACAGTAGGATGGTGACAGTTCTTGATGTTAACAAAGGCGTGGAAGACACATTCATTCCTAAGTAATTTCTATCTGATCAATCCACTTATTGCAGACTGAGTTTGTATCTCCCCAAATTTATCTTGAAACTTAACCCCCAGAGGGATGGTACTAGGAGGTGGGGGCCTTTAGAAGGTGAATAGGTCACAAGGGCAGAATTCTTGGGAAAAGGTTTAGTTGGCCTTATAAAAGAGGCACCAGAGCCCCCTTACCCTTTCACCATGTGAAGACAGAACAAAAAGATGGTGGATCCTGAACCAGAAAACAGGCCCTCCCCAGACATGGACCTGGTGGAGCCTTGGTCTTGGTTGGGACTCCCCGGTCTCCAGAACTGTAGCCAATCAGTCTGTGGTGAGTTATTTCATTGTAGCAGCCCAAATGGACTGACGTTTCATTAAAATACATATATATGTATGTTTACATACCTTACAAACATATACTTATAGAAGCCATCTGTTTAATTTATTGTGAGCCAGGTCTTTGACACACATTGTCTTATTTAACCCTTACAACCTTACAAGAGAGGGATGATTTATTCCCATCGTACAGATGGAGGCCCTGAGACTTAGAGACAGCAAGTAGTAAGGTCACATAAATGTTAACTGGAGGGGGAGAATCCAAACTCAGCTTTGGAAAGCCCAAATGGATCTTACTCTGGAAGTCAAATTTTGGCCCCAAAATAATGAATTTATTTTCACTCAAGCAATTGGCACACAGAGAAGTATCAAGTATTTTAGGCTTTGGGGGGACATACAATCACTGTTGCCACTATTTGACTCTGTTGTAACAACCAAATGTAAATGAATGAGTGTGGTCAAGATCTAACTAAACATTATTCCGAGATATAGGCAGAAGGTGGACTTGATTGTGGGTCTAGGTCACAGCCTGTCAGTTCCTATTTTTGAACATGAATACTGAGTATGAAGGGGAAGAGGGCTGAGCACCTTTCCCTTTACCTTGTTCCTTTGTCAGCCTCCTACCCTGACCTCTCAGTCCCTGAGCCTTCCCACCCACTTCCACCCCCAACATGTTTTTTATTCTTCCCAAAACCTTTTCCCCATTCGTTCAGCCCCATTTTTGTTTTAATTTCCATCATGGCTGGATTTAACCCATTCATCCTTAATGCTCTTGCTCTAAACTCTATTCCTCTACTTCTCCTCAATAATACAACTAAGGTTTATAGAGAAGGAACTATAGGAAACAATAATGTGGAAAAGGCCAAGAGCAAGGACTAGTTGCTGAACGTTCTTAAAGGATAGAATTTAGAAGAGAAAGAAGAAATCTGTTACTATTTTCCTTCTATCTTTTCTATACTCTTCTCTTTAGACAATAGAGTAACAATAAAAATTGACATTTGTATAGTGTTCTGCTAAGTATTTGAACTTTTGCTTCTGCATTTCCAATCCCACCACTTGTTTTTGATCACCGGTGTAATTTATCACGTGGTTTCATGCCTCTTCTACCTTCTTTAGGGCTCTTGGACATAGCCCAAAAAACATATAGGGAGAACAATAACAACAACAAAATGTGGGTAGACATGAAAGCCAGAGAAATGGCAACCTCTTCTTCATGGAGGGAAGCTGTTATCCTCCACTGAGTCACTGTCCTGTGAACTATTTTCCATATTTGACAGGAAGGTGTATCCTTGTGTCTCAGAGTTGCTTCAGTTCTCCTCCTTGATTGGGACCCTAAATATAATAACACATTGAACTCATCAACTTTTCAGACCCTCAACATCCTAGGGGCTTTTTCTCAAAGCGACAGAGCATGGTTTACAGGAAGCAGAAAAACTGTAAATGAGTTGGAAATGAAATACCCCTAATACTTTGCTTACAGAAAAACCAAGGACTCATTCAATGCCAAGGATACGAAAAGAGGCATTTGATCAAAAACTGCAATTAAGATTTTGACCCACTCTTAACTTCAGGGGAATTCCAAGGAAGGAGAAAATGAAAATCTACACAACAGAGGGATAACAATTATCTAAATTTATGACCAGCATAATCCAGGGGAACATAACTTAGAACCTGCAATACATTCTACTTTATGTTCATCAAATTAGATAGTAGCCTTTGGGGAGGGAGGGAATCCGAAGCATATTTCAACTCTTAACCTTACATTTTATAGCTAATATAAAAGAAATAACCCTCCCTGAAGAAATGACACTAGCTGTACATCTGGTGATCTACTATGGATCCAAAGAGGAACAACTGTGTCTTCCTGATGATAAAGATAGGAGTCTTCCACCTACGTTTATAAATAAGAATTTCCTTACAGAGTGAGAAGCTATAACAAGGCTCTCATGTGACAAAGAGAGGGAGAAACCAGACTTCACAATGATTATACAGTTATCCACTTCCAAGGATTTCTTGAATTTCCATGAAAGGGTTATTTGGTAGTGGTGGTGGGGGATCAAAATAGGAGATCCCTGGCCAGAAGCTTTCATAATGATCAAATCAATGAATATAAAGAACATTCTGTCTAGGGCTCAAAACTATCTGTTATGCAAGTAAAAGTAGATGCATACAAAATTGGTCCTTGAGCAGGACTTTATGGGTGTCCCACCTAAACTACTCAGGTATTTAACACAGTGATAAAGCCAACTTACATTTCTTCACATTTAGTAATTTTTCAGAGTTGCTCTTCAGTATGAATTCTTTGATGTCTGATGAGGGATGAGCTGCACTTAAAGCTTTTCCCACATTCATCGCATCTGTAGGGCTTCTCTCCAGTATGAGTTCTCTGGTGTTGAATTAGAGCTGATGAATGGATGAAGGCTTTTCCACATTCATTACATTTGTATGGTTTCTTTCCAATATGAATTCTCTGATGTTTAGCAAAATTTGAGCTCCGGCTGAAGGTTTTCCCACATTCATTACACTCATAGGGTTTCTCTCCAGTATGAATTCTCTGATGCTGAACAAGATGTGTACTCTGACTGAAGGTTTTCCCACATTCGCTACATTCATATGGCTTTTCTCCAGTATGAACTCTCTGATGTTTAGTAAGGGATGAGCAGTGGCTGAAGGCTTTCCCGCATTCCTGACATTTATAGGGTTTCTCTCCGGTATGAGTCCGCTGATGTTTAATGAGAGCTGATGAATGAATGAAAGCTTTATCGCATTCATTACACTCATAAGGCTTCACCCCAGTATGAATCAACTGATGCTGCACAAGATGTGTACTTCTATTAAACCCTTTTCCACATTCACTGCATTCATACGGTCTCTCTCCAATGTGAATTCGCTGATGTATCGCAAGGGATGCACTTTCTGTGAAGGCCTTCTTGCATTCACTGCATTCAAAGAGAATTCTAGTATGAGTTCTCTGATGTTTAGTCAAATTAGCTCTGTGGCTAAAAGATTTCCCACATTCACTGCAGCTATAGGGCTTCTCTCCAGTATGGACCCTCTGGTGTCGGATAAGCACTGAATGGTAAGTGAAGAGTTCGCCGCAATCGTTGCATTTATGAGGTTTCTTCTCTTTACAGGTTCTTTGCTTTTTCATTAAGTTTGATTTCTGTTTCAACCTTTTTTCAAGGGTATGGAAGGCATAGGATCCTCTGGGAGCTCTGTCTTGAGTGAGAACAGACTTCGGACTCAGGTTTTTCCAATAAACATCATGCTCGAGAGCTCTTTCTTCGGGGAGTGAATTCACATGGCTGAGCATTTCTCTCAAGTGTCTCTCCTGATTTCCTTGCTGATTCTCTAGCCAGTTTTCACATTCAAGAGCTGTTTCCAAGCTGGAGTCATAGACACTATCTCTTGTCAGTCTATCTATTATTGCAGTCTGGCATGATTCATTGGAAAGATCTTGCACTGAAGTTGAGTCTTTGCCCTCAGGTTTAATCTCCAGGTCTGAAAGAAATTGGAAATGCAAATTTCCTTTGTTTTCAGTGCTCAACAAAAGACAGTTCTTTAACAGCTAATAAAGATGAAAAGCATGCTTCCGAGGAGGAAATGGATTTGACTTTTTTAAGACGACTTGCAAAGAGAAGCAAATGGAAGGAAACAAATGCACAGCGTATGTGGAGAAAATGAGTAGACCTTATCCAGCATAGTCAAAAGGGGGTAAAAGATGACCAGAAATACAGAAGGAGAGATGCAGATGAACCAGTATTATCGCTGGATGCGCAGGAAATGAGCACACTAGATCAGAAGAGGGAAGAAACAAATTCTTATTGAATACCCACTTGCTGTATTAAATATACTGTTATCACTTTAGAGGACATTATGACTTTCAGGTTTCCAGTCATGCAGTCCTACCCACATCCAAATAGGCATTCCATTTCCAGTTTAACCTTCCCTAACAATGCTTTTGTATGTCTCCGATCAAAAATGTACTATGATCTTCCAAAGATATAATGGTAAATATATGGTATCTTATATACATAAGACTACTCCTTTTAACACTGAGATAGCGAAATACTGGTAACGTCTCCACATGGATTACAGAGAACTGATTAAACGCAGAATGATGTAGACATAAAATGCAGTACTTTCCAACTTTTTAAAACATCACAAAGATCTCCATATATAGATATGAAGTTGTCTCCAGGATACATTAAGTAATTTTTTTAAAAAAATTACTGGGGCCCCTGGGTGGCTCTGTGGGTTAAAGCCTCTGCCTTTGGCTCAGGTCATGATCTCAGGGTCCTGGGATTGAGCCCCAAATCGGGCTCTCTGCTCAGCAGGGAACCTGCTTCCTTCCTCTCTCTCTGCCTGCCTCTCTGCCTACTTGCAATCTGTCTGTCAAATAAATAAATAAATAAAATCTTAAAAACCGCAAGCTTCAAGTGTGTACAATCTGCTCCTCTTTATGCAGAAAAAATGGGGAGGGAGATATAAATATATGCACATATTTGGTTATATTTCCAAAAACCAAGGATGGACAAATGAAATATTAATAAAAATGGTTGCTTATAGGAAAAGTATCAGAATAGAGGAGTGAGGGCAGAGATGGAAGCTAGAGCTCTCTAAATAAATCTAATATATTAGAATATTTTGTCTAATATAAAACTATAAAGCTAAACTAATTTAAGGAGTGTGGTGGGTCAAAGCAACAGACAGATCAATGAAACAGAAGAGCAACTTCAGAAATAGTCAAGCATATACAAATAAAAACAATACAAAGGTGATATTTCAGTCAACAAAAGACAATCTGTTTTCAAACAAATGTTATAACAACTGATTACACATTTACAAGAAAATTAAGTTTGACCTGTCCCTCATTTTATACAGCCAAATGACTTCTATTCCTTCACCAAGCTACTTTTCTAAGCATTTATTCAACAGTTATCCATTGAATATCTACCATACGCTAGGCTCTGTGCTAGGCACTGGGGAAAGACACATGCACAGGAGGGGAGAGAGAATTTTGTCTAACATTCACAAAAGCACATAAAAATGTGCTTGCAGGGCGCCTGCGTGGTTCAGTTGGTTAAGTGACTGCCTTCAACTCAGTCATGATCCTGGAGTCCCAGGATCAAGTCCCACATTAGGCTCCCTGCTCGGTGGGGAGTCTGCTTTTGCCTCTGACCCTCCCCTCTCTCGTGCTCTCTCTCAAATAAATAAAATCTTTTAAAAAAAAGTAGTTAAGTATTGAGGAATAAAAGGCAAATGACTATGAAAAAATATGGGGGGAATCTAGGGAGATGAGGGGAGACTTCTCTGAGGAAATAAATCACTGAGCTGGAATGAAAGTGCAGTTGGAGTTCGGGTGAATGTTGCAGGTAACTGGTACAAATCACAGAGGTGAGTATTCCAGGGAAAGGGAATGTATGAACCAAAGCGCCAAGATGATAGGGACATACAGGGAAAGCACAGTGGTTGAGAGGATGGACTCTAGAATCAGAATGCATGAAGATAATCCCAGCTCTGTCACTTACGAGCTCTGTGATCTGGGGCAAATTATTTAACCTCTCTATCTCAGTTTCCTTATGTGTATAAGATGGGCAATAACAGTACCTACTTCATGAAGAATAATGACAATACTTACCTTAATAAGCATTAAAGGGATATAAACCCCTAAAAATTATGACACAGCCTAAGTGCTAATAATTTGATGTAAGGCTGATATAGGGATGTAGATAGAAATCTCAAAGTATGGCCCATAAACCCCAGGGAAGCCAGAAGTTCAAAACTATTTTCAATATAATGTTTAGATGTTATTTGTCTTTCATTGTCTTGTCATTTGCACTGTTACAAAAGTCATCATGGTAAAACTGCTTATGACTTAGCGCAAATCAGGACAATAATGATAAACTTAGTGGCAGCTGTATCCTTCCCTGGCATGTACTCTCAGTTAAGAAAAAAAGGAGCCAGTTTCACTTAAAAATGTCTCAGGAAACAGTAAACATTACCGATTTTATTAAATTTCAAGCGTTGAGTATACATCTTTTAAAATTTCTGAATTGAGGAAATAAGAAATATTATAAGGCAATTCTGTTCCTATCGAAGTATGACTGTCTTGAAGAGAACCACTTGTGGGATCATTTGAGGTGTGAGCTGAACTAGCCACTTTTCCCATGGACCACAGTTTTTACTTGGAAGAATGGCTGACAGACAAAATATGTTATCCAAGTTGAGTATTTGACAGCTATTTCCTCAAAAATGAACAAACTGGGGCACCTGGGTGGCTCAGTGGGTTAAGCTTCTGCCATCGGCTCAGGTCATGATCTCAGGGTCCTGGGATAGAGCCCCACATCGGGCTCTCTGATGAGCGGGGAGCCTGCCTCCCACTATCTCTCTGCCTGCCTCTCTGCCTACTTGTGATTTCTTTCTCTGTGTGTCAAGTAAATAAATAAAATCTTTTTTTTTTTTAAAGATTTTATTTATTTATCTGACAGAGAGAGATCACAAGCAGGCAGAGAGGCAGGCAGAGAGAGAGGAGGAAGCAGGCTCCCCACTGAGCAGAGAGCCTGATGCGGGACTCGATCCCGGGACCCTGGGATCACGACCCGAGCCGAAGGCAGAGGCTTTAACCCACTGAGCCACCCAGGTGCCCCTCAAGTAAATAAATAAAATCTTAAAAAAAAAAAAAAAAAAAGAACAAGCTGAGCCTGTCATTTCAAGGAAAACAATCATTCAGTAAAATTTCAGCTTTTGGGCAGAAATCAGAATTTTGGAAAACTTGTATCTGCTCTTGAGAACCTGGTAGTTTTTTAATCCTTAAAGACTTTTCTGATAAGGTCAATGGTGATATTAGAAGTTGTGATTTAAAAAACACTACATGATGTAATGTGTCAATACTTAGAAGATCTGGGGGCGCCTGGGTGTCTCAGTGGGTTAAAGCCTCTGCCTTTGGCTCAGGTCATGGTCCCAGGTCCTGGGATTGAGCCCCGCATTGGGCTCTCTGCTCAGTGTGGAGCATGGTTCCCCCTCTCTCTCTCTGCCTGCCTCTCTGCCTACTTGTGATTTCTGTCTGTCAAATAAATAAATAAAATCTTAAAAAAAAAAAATGAGAAGATCTGCATAACTCAATGAACAAGTATTTTCCAAAAGATCAGTAGATTTTAACAAAAGAGTATGAAAAATTCATGGATCTGGTTCCTGATGCCACGTTATATCTGATCTTCAAGAAAATAAAACTTGCCCAGGGACACGTGGGTGGCTCAACTGGTTAAAGGTCCAACTCTTGATTTTGGCTCAGGTCATGATCTCAGGGTCCCAGGACTGAGTCCCAACTTGGGTTCCACACTCAGTGGGGACTCTGCTTGAGGATTCTCTATCTGTCTGCCCCTCCCCCTGCTCAAAGGCACCCACACACATCCTCTCTCAAATAAAGAAATAAATCTTAAAAAAAAAAAAAAAGAAAGAAAGAAACTAACACTCGCCCAGTTTTTGGTGTAGTATTATAACAGCCACACTTACCTGAAAAAGCTATGAAATGTTTCTCCCTTTCCAACTATGTATTAGTGTGAGGCTGGATTTCTCTCATACAAGTCAACCAAAACAACGTATCACAACAAACTGCATCCAGAAGTGGAGTGAGAATATAGATTTGCAAAAATGTAAAACAATGCATTCTTGTCAATAAATTTTTTTTGCAGCAAATAGGTGTTTATATAAAAGTTATATTATTTGTGTTAACACAAAATGGGTTTTAATTATTTTTACATGATTTAATAGTTTAAAAATTTTTCCAATTTTCATTTCTAATACAGTAGGTACTGGTAAATATAACCCAAACATAAAATATAAGTGTATTTACAAAAGCTCTTTCGGGTCCTCAGTAATTTTAAACATGGTCCTTTGATGGCCAAGTACTTAAGAACCTCTATGTTAGAGTATAAAAACAGGGACAGCAGGTGTGAGATTAGATTGGAATAATGAGTAAAAGCCAGATTTTGTAAGACTGTATAGGCCTCAAGGATTTCAGTTGTTATCCTAAGAGCAATGGGAAGACACTGGAGTGTTTTAAGCCAAAGGATGACACCATCGATCAGTACTTTGAAAACATCACTTGCGCTGTGATATAGACTGGTATAAATCTATGGGGACAGAGGCAGAATTGAGATTACCACAGTGGTCCAGGCCAACAAAAGAGAGAGGGATGATAACAGTGAAAAAAATATTTACAGGATGACTGGATAAATGAAGTTGAATTGGGTAAAGGAGAGAGGGAACTATAAAAACTGTTCACACATTTCTGGCTTGTGAAATTTGGTAAGACAGTGAGTGTCATTAAGACAACTGAAGGGGCGCCTGGGTGGCTCAGTGGGTTAAGCCCCTGCCTTCAGTTCAGGTCATGATCCCAGGGTTCTGGGATCGAGCCCCACATTGGGCTCTCTGCTCAGCAGGGAGCCTGCTTCCCCATCTCTCTCTGCCTGCCTCTCTGCCTACTTGTGATCGCTGTC